TGGTAATCCAGTTCTCCTCATCAATTTCCTGCAGTACATTCCCAATCTTCACCACTGTATCTTCTTCCTCACTATCACTGACCATCTTAAACGGAGATAAGCAGAATCATATTACAGTTTCCGCCACAAAATTCAGTCACCTTGATTATTCATGAAATGTGGGAGAACTAAACAAAATCTTGTTACAAATAAGTGTTTGCATTTTATTATTAATTATGATATGTGAAGGTACGTCTACATAACTTGTCAAACTGTGCTACCGCATCATTTAAAAAACGTAAGTTTAGTAAACTCGTAGAAGTAATTGTAATTCTTTTTTTAATGTGTCAGCATCTTCGGCTCAAACTCCTTACTAACTATTTTAGCTTTATTAGGATTAGTGAAACATTCCTTTACATAGTAACCACTTTGATTATCACTAGTTGAAGTTTTATTTTTTAGTACCTGTTTCTGCTTAAATAGTTTAACCGACCTTTGATAAACAGGCTTATCTATCGATTGTCAGTGGATGTCTGGTGTATCCTGTTATGGAAAAAAGTATGTTTAACGTGAAAAGGAGAAATATTAGTAAATAATGACAAAATACATCACAATTAAGCATGCTGTGATGATTGGAGCCGCTTCTTCCTGTATAGAACAATGAAATAAGGATGCCTCAACTATTTGGAGTTTGACAGCAACCTAGCCAGTAATACTTCCATGATTGAAATTTTCTAACTAATTAAAATCAGAATTCGGAAATGAAGGAGTTCGAAGATGTATTAAAAAGGCTATCGGTACGTTGAAATATCGTTTCGTCTAGGTTGGCTAAAGGTTGAAGGAGAAGTGAAGCACAACGCACCCCAACGTGATCTGATGCGAACTATTCACCAAACGCCTTCAGCTAGGTGAGTCCATTGAAACTAATGGGGTCAGCATCGAAAGCCGAAAGCTTACAGAACCACAAGGCCGTTCTTGAACTATAAGCTTCCTTATATATATGTTGCATTTTCGCACGTTGCTGTCATGAGCCGACAATTGTATCTGAAAATCCTGCTGAGTTGCAGATGAAGCATTCATTGATGTGCATTGTATTGGACTGTTGAAGTGTTTGAAAATGTTGCTAAAATAGAAGCTCTGCTGAATGCCGTCATTATTGTTTGGGTCGCTTGAACCTAATAACTGATGAACTGATTCTTTGGCTTGAATGATGGGATAAACTAATCGGATTGACGACAAACTTTTCGATTTGTTTAATCTGATATCGAAATCCATCTTTTCTTTGAGCCTTTTTGAATTAGTTTCTCATTCGTTTGAAGTGACTATATGTGTTGCCGTTCATTGTATTCTGACCAGTAGTACCTTTAATGTTTTAACAGCCAATAGGTACGAAATTTTATCCCTTTAGTTTGTTTGCAAATTTAAAGGACCGTGTGTGGTACATGCTGGTTTGTAGCTCGAACAATCATGAGAAATAAGAAATCAGTGAGTGTCCACATTAATGAACGGTAGGCACTAAAGTCTTATAGATAGCACATAGAACCACTTGCAATTCTAAGGCCTGTTGCAAATTGAATGTTTGGGTTCAGTCTTTGTAGTCAAATGAACAGAGTAGCAAGAACTGATAGGCTTGCAGTTAGGTATTCTGTGTTTCTGGAAATGCAATATTAGAGTAACTGTTTCTCAACAAAATTCCCAGCTTAACATTATCGAATCATCCTAGTCCTTCAACGGCGTTAAAGAAACAAGGCACGGAAGTCATTGTCTATAATGTGTATATGTTGAGTGCACATGGCTTTAGGAAGACTGAATTCTCTTCAGATTGGGACAGAAGTGCATGCTTAACGAATGGAGTACGTTAATCTTTTCAGCACTCGAAGGTTGGTTTAGGTGTCAGCTATGGACTTTTTGTAGATGAATTCAGTCATCTCGAGTTGTTAAAAAATTCCATTGAGTACCATGCAGATTTATCAAGGCAGTTAAACTCTCGGGTATGTAGATCGCCAGTGTAGATGACCTGTGTCGATTGACTGGAAGCCTACTCGAGTTAGATGAGAATGGTATGGAAAATCAACTTAAACAATGCACATATACATACACACACAAATTTACATACTTATCACTTATGAATCACCTTGACAGAAATGACATGACATCAACTTGTTCAGACCTGTTTTTTGATTGATCAAATATTATTCTTGCATTGTTCCGTTGTACTATTTAAACTTGGATTAATTTAATTTGGTTATTTATTCTCTGAAGAAGTGACTTACACTAAGCCACGAAACGTCAGAAAATCCAATTTTCTACTCATTGGGATATTACAAATATATTATTTTTATTTAAAATCAACTTATGTTGAAATCATACAACTATGGTTGCCTACAAACATCCGACGATTATCATGAAATTTATTTTGTTTGTCCGGAAAAAGTGAATGTCACATACAAACTAGTGAACCTTATTTCAAAGGCTTAGGGTCAGTGAAGTTGCATTATACATATATACCGAATGAAATTATCTACTGATCCACCTAGTACGAAGCACATACAAATATCCTATTTAAATGCTTTAAAGACAAAGTGAGCCGACGTGAATCACATGCATTGTAACTGACAAGTCGAAATGTAAATTTTGCTTATTCATATTATGAACGGAATAATGGCATCATATTTTTTCATATAAAAGTTGAGAACATAACCACGAATAAAACTACTCATGGATATCGCTACCATGCAAAAGGATCCTTCAACCACTGTGCATGATACACAGCACAATACGCACGTGGTTATGATTAATGAAGTCACACTGTTTGTGAAGTGAGTACATGAAGGTCAAATATCGTCTCATTTGGGAGAGAGGATCATATATGCACTGAAAAAAGTGGTAGATCACAAAAATTCAGAAGACTGAACAGAAAAAGGATAAAAGCTTTTCGACTACACTCCATACTGAAAAACTATTCCTACGTACTCCACTGAAAAGAAGTCGAGATGATGTGATGAGATGAAATAGCAGAATCATATTCTTTACTCATTATGATTTTTATTCAAAATTACCTCCATTTAATTTAGTGTGATGATTACTCAGTGTAGTATTTGTTTCGTTTTCTTCTCAGCGTATCCTCGCGTCAGTGCCCCAATACTAATTCAATGCTAGAAGTCAAGCCGAGAATTGGTGATAATAGTTTTGCGAATTTGGAAATAAATTTGAGATAAAGCTGAAGGGCACTAACTCATGAACTGAGTACCGGAATATTCGTATTTGACGGTGCTTAAATCAGTGGAGTCAGATGACTCGTATCAGGTTAAAAACCCTCCGCATCTACTGTACGGCCTGGAAAGTTGATAGAAATAAATCGTAGCTGACACCGCACGATCACATTTGTGTCACAAAAGTGTCCAAATAACTTTAAAAGATTCTGGCTTTGTTACTCAGTATTGTAAGCATGAACTATGATGTCTTCCTGATGAGATTCAACACCGTCAAATCAGGTGATAATCTGATTTATATTCTTGTGAAATCTCGCAGATAAAACAATACATCTGAACGGTAGGAGCTTGTATACGAGCAGGCCGAATATTCCATTATTGCTAGTTAGTTCACCAGGGATCGCATCCAACGGAATTCGCCAATGCACTTGCCTTACGTCTGTTTTAGAAAAGTAATTCGGTTCTCGTAATTTGAATAGTGTATCTTCAGTTTGTTCAGACGTATGACTGTGTTACAATAACCGAGTATTTGGTGTCAGATGGTAGTCATCACAATTTCAAGTGTTTTCTATATATTTACGGCCACAACAGCGCATTGAATCCAACAAATCTTGCTGCTGATTTGCTTTTATGCTTCTGGGTTTTATCAGCTCATAGTAATTTAAGTTTAGTAATGTTAGTTCTTTATAATACACCGCACGCCACGTTTCGAATCCTTATCAAACAAACACCTAGCACTTACGTGACAGATCCGAAGGCAATCGAGTTGGTTTTCTATCCGACTAGAACTGGGTTTGGAATCATTCTTTTCCGCAGCCTCACCACCTGATAATCTACAATTCTGAGATATTTGTGACCGGTATCTAATGCTAGTTTGGGCTCATTCTCAGCGCCTCATTTTTTCATACGATTGATGAGGAATAAAACTCTTGAGAAAACCTTTCAGAAAAACAAGTATGCTGAACTTCATTATTTTGACGTCAGAATGCTGAGGATTGTGGATAGCTTATAAGAACGACAAACTTATAATATGTTGCTTAAATCGTTGTTCTTGCTTATGAGTAATGGAAAAGAGTATACACAAAACTGTCGAGTGACCAGACATTTACAATTCTTCAGCTAAAATATAAGCAATTAACTGTTTCACAACAAACTAACCTAAAGATGTTTATATTAGGCTCGTGCACACTTTTCCTCAGCTCTAATCAGTAAGCTGTGGAACTCACTACTCTTCGGTTGAATCTTTCAAGGCTCAACGGTTACTTTAATTCTGTAAGTAGTAAGGGAGAATACTTTGAGTGTTACTCACCGAGCACACCTATTATTAACTAAATTGTCACTCCCCTCAGTTCTTAGGAGGAATATTAAGAAATCATAGCCCTCCGAAAATAAGACCTCATTCTAACTGCCCAGACGCAGATCCCAAGGAACAAATAGTTCGCCGATTCCTCCTGGCAAAGTTGAAGTTGACACGGATAAGAGTAAAGATTCGTACCTATCTTACAGATATGAATAAGTAAGCTATGTAGAATCATTAGTATATATGAAGTATCACTCGCGTGTGACGGGACTAGGTTTAGTACCACAGGGTTTAAAATCAGAAACCCGGTAAATAAATCCAATAATTTCCGAAACCTGAGTGATATAATGCTATCTCGAGAACTGGACATACCCGAAACAGCAAAAACCAATTCCCTGTAATGGATTCAGATAACCATCTCAAATAACACAAGTTAATAAAAACACGGTGAATAATAGTACTGAAGATACACCAATAATTCCAAAACTTCGACTAATTAGTACATCAAATTAAATTGCAAACTTGCCAATGTAAGTTGTTTTCCCACCAGGCGCAGCACACAAATCCAAGATACGCTCGCCTAACTGAGGGGACAAGGCAATTACAGGAAGCATAGAACTAGCTCCCTGAAGTATATAATGACCGGCAAGATATTCTGGTGTTGCGCCTAATGGTACTTGTGATGAATAAACAACAAGTCCAACTTTGCTCCACGGTTCCAAAGGATCAAGGTTTACACCGCGATTTATTAAAGCCTATCTAATTATTATAAAACAAAGAGGACTTGCTTGAGCCAATTCCCTGCGACGTGTCTTTAAGGTGTTTGTGCGAATGGTCACTGGCCTGTCGACTTCATTAGCTTCTAAAACCTCAACAATCTGCGACTGAATTTGAGTTCCAATATTTATTACCTCTTTGGGAAACAAATCAAGAAGTTTCACCATAAGGAACTGGTTGTACGAATAGCGAGAACATAAGTCGCTTATCAGAGTCCGAACACACAAACTCCTATTGAGGTCTGCAGGTGCTCTGTTTTTGAAATCGGAGAGGATATAAAGCCAGTTCCGAATGCGTTGGTCTAATGTACTGGAATCCATTGCAGACTTTCCAACCGCATCTTCGGAAGTGAGGTTTGTGATAATATCCTCTTTTTCATTTACAGGTTCTACAGAATCCGCATTTGTCTCAATGTCTTCTTCCAAATCCGATAGACGTCCAAAATCATCAACCATAAGTTCGTCACCGTCATTTTCAAAAAATCCACTTCGAGTCGCAGACACACTGTCAGATGACTCGTAAACCTAATAGAGAGAAGGTCATCAACAAAAGTACCTTTTTAGATGTCCTATTTTCAACAAGTTCATCAGATTTCAGGAAACGCTTCTTAAGCCTTTGTTTTTGTCTGCTTGTTAGTTTTTCTAAGAACACTGAGACTTTGATAGCAACAAACCCCTATGTTTAACAACTCCATCCCTAATTTTCGGATCCTCTTGGTGAGTCAATCTTTTTCCTCCCTTCTTTACGGCCGATTTCACCATGGTCATGACCAGAAACGAAATAGGCGGCTTGAATTCACTAGGTCAAAGCAACCGACCTGTGTCAGTAGCTAATAGAAACAAACTTCAAAACATAAACATTGGTTGTGGAAAGTAGTGAACTGTCTTTTTTGGGTCTGTGTGTAAGTAGTGAGCGGGCTTGGTTGACTATGGTGAGATACAACGTGTCCGTTGAGATCTTCCAAAACTCCCCACGCTTTTATCGACCCTGTTCATCTGCATTCGGTAGGATTATTATTGGACTAAAATGAACACTTTCACCTCCTTACGTGTACCGTTTTACACAAAGGCCAGAAGCAGTACCAATCAAGGATGGTTTTACTGTACTTGTTTGTTTGACTGTACCAAACACATACATTCTTCCGTTGCTTGTGACCGTGCACGGACGTTCCTCTGCTCAGTAGTTCCACTTGTACTCCTTTGACACGATCTCGGTATTCTTTCGATATAACGAGATCGTCAACATATATATCTTGCTACAACCTTTAATCGCCTTCTGATGTCTGGTTGACTCGGAGGTTTATCGTGTTCTGGTCCAAAATCTCCCTGTATTGTTGATCATACTCAAACGTGACTCGACGCCACACTACTCCCAAGTGAGCAGTGCACGTTTAGTGTAGATGAAGGAAGATCAGAGTACGATGCAAACTGATCAGTGTGTTTATAAGGCTTCACATTATTTGCTCTAGTGACAGATTTAGATCTTTTGCAGGTGCTATAGGCATCAGGAGAGGTTATATGTCTTTTAGATGGCCTGGACACTATCGGAAGTAATGTAAATATAAAGTTTAAGACAGGTATTAGACGTGAAATTCTATGGTAGGACGAGATCCAGTATTATAAGAGAGAAAATATATTAAGGTTTATTAGCGAAAAGAGGTACATAGCGTAAAAACTAGGGAAATCAATGTATGATGTTGAGTCCCAAAATGAGGTGTAAAGTTGATAGAACCCTATCAGTGATGAATTACTTATCGCTAATAAATGTTGAATGAAAGGGAAAAACTAATAGGAAAATCCAATAATACCACGTGAAAGAAAGTTACAACCTTCAAAAACACTGATAACCCTAAAACAACTCAGCTGAAAATAAACTTATGGATAACATAATTTTGTCGATCACTATAAATCCGAGGCTACATTTCGTCACAGTATATATCACGTCTTCCCGGTTTAATTTCTCTAGGTTTTTCTTTAGCGTAACAACCGATTGTTTGAATTTCCACTGCCTGATGTTCAGAATGAATTCTAGGTTACGAATAAATTTGAAGCTTAAAACAGTCCTTAAAGAATCCAGGATCGATATGTTAATGACCGAGAGAACGTGTTTAATGAGAATGAACCTTTAGCATACCTTTGTTGAATTATGGTCTACTATGATATTAGTACTGCTCTAATAATAGACCTAATCCTAAATTTGTAGATTCGTCATGATATAACTGCCTAATCTATAAGATCTTACGTGGAAGTCACACCATCGACTACGCCAACTCACTGTATCGTATCAATTACCAATACATGATGAAGAAGAAGAAGGTTAGGTTAGAGAAGGAACAATATATTTAATATGAATAGAGACCACGCCTGCATGGCCGAGCCATGCCACTCGATCAACTCCAGTCCATTCCATTCATTGTTCGCGCCTTCTCCATTTTTAGGTATTTCTCCGCGTTAAATATTGAATATCTATTTTCTGAGTAGTCTCGTGTTCACAGCTTTGTGGGTTGTGTGGCTATTGTCCAATGCCACTACACTACTCTCCCACCAGAATCAACGTGATTTTGGTTCGATACCAAATTGGATGGGATCGTCGTGCGCCGAAGGTTACCAAGACTAGGAAGAATCCCCCGGGTAATGATAAGCTGAAAGATAAATCAAAAAGAAAGGCGGCAGCATCTGGTCGGGAAATACATGTAATAATTTTTTTTTAAAATCTGCCTTCATGCTTAACACACTTAAAATGACAATTTGGGTGAAGATTATTTGAGCTATAAAAAAAGTGGGATTACAATAATAATAATAATAAAACAATGCGTGTTAATAGCCGTTGGTTAATAACTTGACGTATAGGTAGTAAGTATTTTGTGTTTAGAAATATTAAAGTAATGAATATTGTAGAAATGTTAATATTGGTATTAGTTTTGGTTTAAATTATGAAACCAATTAACAATTATGCTGGTAACCCGTCCATAAGTGATTTCCAATTGCATCTGTATTAGTAGGCTAACTGGGAGAACAAAAGTATTACCATGGAGAAGAATTCCAACTAGTGTTCCAGTTAGTTTGATACGGTTTATTTAGTTACGGGGAGATTTTCTCAACTTCATTTTTACTTGACCGTGATAGAATTTAGTAATACTACTAATACACATGAATGGTTATCAAAATAAAATTTAAATACGTGAGTGATAATTATATGAATTTTGGACAGATAGCTAGGAACAAATCGCTAAACATGAGTGTATTCGTAAGAGACATGCTCTGGACTCAATGTTCTGATCTGCAGACTATTTATTTATATTTATACTTGCTGGCTGATTGGGCATACAAGTTAGTTGCAAGTATGCAGTTTATCATAAGGCGGAATAAGATTAAATTGAGATATAGTGGTTATAGGTTATTAAAATCGGTTAGACCTGTGTCATATTACGAAGTGATGTGGTGCTGCAAAATGTATTTAGCTAAATAAGTTTTTACAAGATGATTAATAGTGAGTGATGCTCATGTGATTATCAGGGAGAACATAAGTTGTAACCAGGGGGAGTACACTCCCAACTCATGTCTATGATAATGGCTTGAACCTTAGTCAGTGTTGGGGTAAATTCGACATTGATGTTTTCAGTTTTTGCAGGAGATTTGCTCGACTGCTTATACTGATTATTTGCATGCATGATTGTGTCGCTAAACCATCAATTAGACTGACAAGGTTTTGAGATATTTACTGAATGAGCAACTGATAGAGAAACATACTGTAATCATCTGTGATGGATGAAGATACCAAGAAAACAACACCATTTAATGGTAATTATAAGTCAATTTGTTGATCGATTTCGTTACTAGTTTCATTAATTTTATCAGTCATATTACGTGATTGTCAAGTTATGACAATGCTTTATGACGATATCCTGAAACTATTAAATTTAACTAGTTATAGTGTTGATTAAGGATTAGTCAGTGGAAAAATAGGTATTGTTGCTTTAGGTGATTCAAAATCATCAGAAATTTATAACGTTAAAGAATCCGAGACGCCTAATTTAATTATAAATTTCAATTCAGAAATATTCGTTTAGTGTTTATTCTAGTAGGCTACTGACTTTTGATTTTAAACGTTTGTTTAGCCAACAGCTACTTGGGGATTTAGTTATTTCACTAGTGCAGTTGATAGTATCTAAATTTTTAATCTTATTATCTAAACTATGTTCGCATTTTAGGCTGCTAATATGATAAACCAATCCATAAACCCAAATACGATTAGCAACAACGACTATGATGGGTTTATTGATAAATGTTAAAGGCGATCCAGATGATTTCTAAATTTAGAAGACATGGAGATATAGTGTAACGTATGTATGGGCCAGGTTAACATGCAGGTTGTTGACGTATATGACGATTTAAAAATAATGAACATGACCAGAAAATAATTTTAAAGTTTAGACTGCTTGTGAAACTTCAGGCAGGAATATGATGCGTTATAAACATTCCATAAGAAGTTACTGCATTTAACCTAGGGACACTTACAAATATATAGCAAAAGGAACCGGAAAACATATACATGTTAAGTAAAAAAAATCATCCAGTAAAATAGTTGAACTCGTCTGGATTATTTTTGAAAATTTTATTATTCAGTGGACGACATATATAACGCTATTCGTGAGTAGTATTGATCCAAAAGCATCCAGAATAAAACATACAGTATGGCAATTAATTCCAGGGTGCTTGATGCTGTTGAGGTTTTTGACACTCGCTCGGATCAGAACAATCGAATGAATCCAGATAATTGTATGGTTGTCATTGAACGAACCATCTAAAAATCATTGCAGAAAACTTATAGCTGAAACTCACCGTATGTTTTTGGAGTAGTCATCCTCGTTGTTTGGCAATGGAACTCGAGAATATGAAATTAGGCAGGCAGTGGTCGGAAGAAAAGATATTACAGGATAGTGCATAGTTTAGAACATGATGAGTTGAAGGAACACCAAGAATTAGATCCAGATAACTATTTAGTCCTTGATCGCATTGTTAGTCAATGTATATTTACGCTATTTACAGGTCATATTTGCTAGAGCTTGATGTTTAAACAAGACTATGTCGCTGAAGCATGTAAATGCTATTACAGCTTGTTAACAAACCATCAAAGCTAATTAGTTAATATAGACGACCAGTTTTTATTATCGATTGAGCTAGTTTGTCATGAGGACTAATCAATATAACATTACGATAATGCATGTGAGCATTAATCAGAGGACTATTAGAATACAGGGTTAACATAAATATAAAATCGATCGAGAAAGTTTAAGTGGATATAAGGATTAATAATAATAGGTTGCGTTTCTTTAGTTGGGCTCACCAATGTTGAATTATGGTCTACTATGATATTAGTACTGCTCTAATAATAGACCTAATCCTAAATTTGTAGATTCGTCATGATATAACTGCCTAATCTATAAGATCTTACGTGGAAGTCACACCATCGACTACGCCAACTCACTGTATCGTATCAATTACCAATACATGATGAAGAAGAAGAAGGTTAGGTTAGAGAAGGAACAATATATTTAATATGAATAGAGACCACGCCTGCATGGCCGAGCCATGCCACTCGATCAACTCCAGTCCATTCCATTCATTGTTCGCGCCTTCTCCATTTTTAGGTATTTCTCCGCGTTAAATATTGAATATCTATTTTCTGAGTAGTCTCGTGTTCACAGCTTTGTGGATTGTGTGGCTATTGTCCAATGCCACTACACCTTCACCCATATATCTGCCGA